TGTGTAACTCAAGTGTTTTCTTTTTAAACTTCAGATACTGCAAGATTACATTTCATTACAGGCATTGCAGTTGCAGATTTGATTTATTACTTCTTACTTTCAAACTCAAGATGCATGCAAGTGATGGGAATGAAAACCCGGCAATACTGGAGCACAAATGAAGAATTTTACTGTTTTTTTGCTGTAAGCTGCAGCAAATCTGACACTTTCAGAAGTTTTAATTGCTGCTTAGGTGGGTGGTGCAATCCAACATCCCTTTAAGGTGGTTTCTCTTTGAGATTGATGTGTCAGGAATGTTGCCGGACAGCTGCACAGGTGTCAGGTGTGTTAGCCATCAGTCTGTATTTCCTCTGAATTCCAGCAGAAATAGCACAGAAATCATTCCCATCCAGAGGCTGAAACTCCTGGAAAAAAAGGAGGGAAAGTAGTTGGTATTGTGCAGAAGCCTTTTCACCAACTGCCACAGTAATCACCTGTCAAAGGAAACGGAAGGAGCCTCTGCCTAATGACCCTGAGGCTTTAGAGATGAGCCCTGACGGCTGACCCTGATGACTTGTTTTGTAAGCTAAGAGGCATGGAGACGTACGAGTAAAATGCACTGCAGTAGTGCTCACTTTTTTCTTTTCTTGTTTTTTTTAACAACGGTGCACAATACATCAGACATCTGGAGGTGTAAAGGGGCCATATGTTTTGTTTTGAGTTCCAGGATATCCTATACTCACTGCAGGTGCAAATACATTGTAAGAGACATTGACGATTTCCAATCATCTAAACAAACACAATCAAATGGGCTTATTTTTAAACAGTACAGTAGCTCACTGACACTAAAAGCTGTCTTGACGGTGAGCGGGTTGCTTAAGCCCAATCACATCTTGATTAGCTATAAGGTCAGCGCAATTAACGCGAGCTGCACCTCTAAGTCGTCTGTTAGGAAAACAATTAAAGGCAAAAATCAAGCTCATCTCCCTAAACACCCGGTCTCCTGTCGCCTTAGTCAGTAGCGGTTTTAGATACGGGCGACACGGGCGGTTGCCCGGGGCGGCATCGTGGTGGGGGGCGGCATCATTGGCAAAAAAAAAAAAAGAAAAAAGAATTGCTGGTACTCATGCTGCCCCGAC